CTTGTAATTTAAAAGTCTATTTTGTAAAAACTTGAAGCTGTCCTTTTATATTCTAGGTAGGTTTCTAAATTATTTTCTACACATTTGTCAAAATCAATTTTTTGTTCATACATTATGATAATCATTCTTTTCAAATACTATTATGCTGCTAGAATTGTCACTGGAGCTACTTACTATCAATCCAGTGCCGAAATTCTTAAATCACTCCACTTCCAATTCGAGCAAGAATCATGTACAAAGTTATTGTGACTGTGTTTCGTGTTGCAAATGGCACCGCTCCATTGTATCTCACTAAATGCCAGAGTCAGTACAGGAAAAGACTGTGATCCTCATCATATAGCCACACTCGGTTTGATATACCATTAACAAATTCAAAACTTGCTGATAGATCTTTGGCTATTGTGGGACCTAAATGGTGGAAGTTATTGCCAGACTATCTAAAGGACATTACCAATGAAAATCAGTTTAAAGCCAAACTTAAAACATACTTGTTTGGACTGTTTTTTAACTAGAGTTGTAGATTGGCTGTGCCATCGAGACTGGGTTTGGGAGTGTCTTGATCAAGCATATGTGTATATAGTCTTAATATTGTACAGCGCAATCGAATATTTAATACATTTTGCGCTATATAAATGTCTTGTATTTGTATACTATACTATACTATACTATACTATACTATACTATACTATACTATACTATACTATATTTTACTATTTATAGCTAATTGCAATTGAGCTCAACTTGACAACTTAATGTATGAGCAAAATGTCATTGAAATTGACAAGTGTTCACCAGAGTTAATCTTTTCAAAAAAGAAAAAAGTCTCTGAAACGACAAATTTATAATTACATTGAATTTTATTTAATAATACGAACTAAAAAATGCCTTTTTTACGCATCGCTTCGCTAGAAATCTTTGAATATTCTTAACTTAGAAACGTTTCACTATATTGAATGTAAGGGGAACATGCTGACAAAATTCTGTTTCGTAAGATCAGTCTTTTTGCAATAGCGATCTCAATTCCTTTCTTAATCTGTAACTTTGATATAAAAGTTTAAATGAACTATGTTGTTTTTAATACCAGTCAAGACTGCATGCAAACATATACATTGGCCAGCTTACATGTCGTCAAGAATTGAAACTATACTACATATTGCACTAGAATTGATATACATTTAAGACAGATAAATGATGATGTTGTAATCTATATAGACCTCTTGCCACTTTAATAAGAACTGTTTTTATGTGGTTAAGGTCTTTTATTCTAAATAAAAGACCTTCAGAAATTGAATCAATAATCGACTGCTCTTGTGTTTGTGTGCTATCATGTAATTCGATGCATTGAATGACAAAAATAGAATTGGCACAATATGTTCGACGCCATCCTTGTCAGAAATCTTTGAAGCGGTAGCTATTTCTTTACCGTGAAATTCATTCAATCAGACAATTTGAATATATCACTGTATAAAAACTGTCCCTAGAGATATTTTGAATCGTTTTTATTTCTGTATTTAAATAAAGAAGATATCGTATGATTATTAAAGACGTTTGCCATTGTGTTAATATATAATGATGCCATAAAGATGTAAGTTTAAGCTCAAGTAAATATGTGCAATATTTCATTTGTCATGTCTTTGGAAGACAGAGCTAAGTTCGAATGAATTACAAAATGAATAACAATATAAGACAATTGAGCAATGTTAATCATTATAAAGGTAAGGTCATTTTATTGGTACAAATAATATTTCATGAAGGTAAAAGTTTCGGCCTTCTACAAACTATAATAGCAATCTATTCATATTTTCTTAATAAAATGTAAAATATATTGTTTTCATACATATTATCAGTTTTATTTTGCTAACATGTGATAGTAACATTAGTTATAGTTTGTGTAAACTCGAACTGAATTTATTACACCAAAATTATGGACGACTATAACAATAATACTTGTCACTCGTTTGCTGAGAATCGGGGATGGGGCATTTCCATTTATTCTTCAGTTAATTGGTAGGTAATATTTCACTTAATTTAAAAAGAATTTAGTTAAACGTTTCTATACTATGTTGTTTAGATGTTGGTAAGATATTGTTTATATTTCCTCAGGCAAGTAGATAAGAATACGAACATAATGTACGTAAAGTTTGTTACATAATACAATGAATATAGCATCATGTCAAAGAACGTTGTTTAGGATTTTCCAATTACTGAATTGTTTATCATATTCAAAACAGACTTATTTCAACTTATTTGTACACTACATTTAAGTGGCATATATAACATTAATAAGTCCACTGTTATTTCTCACCAACATCTATGAATAAAACTGTCATATTTACATTAACACATTCAAATTTGCTTCAATTTTAAAACAGATAGTTACATATTCATAAGAAAGCACAACAAATGTTTCTAATTTATCCTTGCTTTTTATGATAGAAAACAGATATTCGAATCTGTGTATATTCTGTTTATGTAACATGTCTTTGTATTGGTCGCCTTGTACTCTATATAATGCAAAGCCTGTAAAGAGATGACTCTTATAATATAGGGTTAACGCACGTTTGTCGTGTTATAACGTCTGCAGAGTCCCGAGGAGCGGTTGGGCAAGGGCTCCAACAGTTCAGAGGGACTATGCAGACTTTATAACACGAAATAAACGTGCGTTGACGCTATTATATCATAACATTTTAAAACAGATTCATGATGTATATTTAGAACAAAACACATACATTAAATCCTTGAGCTAGGACGGTATTTATCAAATTCTACATGATTTAAATATGCGTTTAATTTTTCCGGGGCCAACAACTTTGGAAATACAAACACTCATGTAGAACCGAATAAAATTTTTCGAATTTTAATTGATTTAATTTTAGATTTAATAACCCAAGAACAATACATAAAATTACTCTATCCAAGACAAAGCATGACCCTCAGAGATTCCTAGAATGATTTCAGATTGACGGTAGAAAAAAAGATCAGTGACATTTTTTTTTCAAGCACACTACTGCAGTACTGTAGTTTATCTTAAAAAATCAGGAACTAAGCATTATTCTCTCAAAGAAATATAAAGAGCATTTATCAGTATAAACATCAATAAAAGAACATTTTCTCATATTCATTTTGTGTTATCTTGTTTTGTAAGTTAATCGGAGATTTTTAAGAACTGAATGACAAATATTTGTTTACAATCACAACTGTCCGTTTCTTAGAAAAGGCGACAACCAAGATTAGCGGCGATGTCTATACGCCGTATTTCCGGCATAGTTACTAAATGCTGCTCATCGTTCGTTATGCGATTGAGGTCCTCAAATCAATAATTTCAATTATAACAAGAGCGCATGGCTCTTTGATTAACAGGCAAAATAGTCATTTATTTTTTTGTTTACTGGCCCCTGTATGTATTGCGCATAGGTAAAACCGGGCTATAACAAGAGCGCGTTACTATGTCAACACATGGTTTTAGTCCCGTTATAACATGGGCCAAAAAAAGGGAAAAATCGTCGATGTTATGCTATAATATTCGTTATGACATAGATTGTCAATATCCCCAGGTCGTTATCATTTTCTTCTGGCCATAAATTGCAACACGGAGACGAACATTTGTAAACTTATAGTATTAAAATAAATGTTATACATTAATATTAATCATTAACAATAATGATCATTTGATTGCTGTTTTATTTTGTATTACACTGCATCATCTTTTCACAATAATATAGAAAGAGAATCTAATGTAATAATAACTCGTCCAGAATTGAAATTATCATAACATTTAGCAAGCGTAAGTTAAATACTTAGTATAAAACATAAGGTATCTTTATAACGTTTTAAATACGTGGCTTAGGAAATGTTGCGTGTTCAGTTATGTAGATATTGATTGCATGGTTAATGTTACACCATATTTTCATTCAGTATTCGTATAAAAAAGACGCACAGCGTCACAATGACAATGATTTATTTATAGTAAAATATTACTGTGGTTATAAATGCAGTAATGGGCTCAAAGACCACTTGCTCCGTAAAACGTCTAATGAGCTTTATTATTATTAAGATTACTTCCTTTGAAAAAAACCTGTTAAAACAAGCAAGGTAGCACAACGTTTTGAATTTCATCCAAAATACGCAAACGGTAGCGTCCATTGTAAATCCGCGTTAGACCTTAAAAAGTCGGCAAATAAAATATCCACCAATATTAAAAAATAAACAAATACGAGACCAAGCTGTGTATTGTAATGTGCTTATCAAATATTGCTTTTCAAAGACAAATGAATATTAAATCATAATAATAGTTGTTTTGTCTGTAAAATCTAAGAACATTGTCAATTTGTGTAAGATTTATTTTAACATTGAATCTTTATAATAACACAACATGTTTCTCCAAAACAGACAGGAGACATATTTAATAAAGTAATTATTAAAATAGTTTCATTCGGTCATGAAAATCTTGAAATAACTATTTTCAAAAGGTAAGTCAATGTACCCATTTCAAATTGATATCAATAAAAAATCAAATCGGCCTTTGCAATTCAAAATACAAACAATAAAGACTTATTACATGTACTTTTTAAGATCGGAAAAAGCATAAGGATGCATTTAAAGCCCGAAAGGTTTAGGGTTTAATACGTCCCAAAGCGTCTGCAGGCGTAAATGCATGAATAAAAGTACAGACACTCTATTCTTGCTTAAAACTATTAGTCTAAATTGGTGATTGTGCGTTTTTCAAAAAGAAACAGTGTCATGTTTTCCCCGTGCTAGTGCGATATCATTTAAATTTTGACAGTTGTGTTTTCATAATAAATAATAATAATATAAATAGTAAATACTAGGACTGTTATTGCAGTAATCTATTTTCTTCATGGAACAACATAAATGAATATTAAAACAGTTCATCAAGTGCAACTCACATAAACATTTACATTAATGAATGCTTTCATCTACGTTTATTAATACATGCAAAGGCAGTTTGTATACAAGAATATAATTATGATAAAGCATAATCAACTGATATTTGTTTTATTTTTGAATCAATATAATGTTTTACAATCAAAACGTATTCCCTTATCGACATTTTAAGAAAGATACACTTCCTATGGTGTTGAAATAAAAGAAAACGAATAAGAACGAAATTATGCTACTAATAACAGTCATAACTATTCAAAAATTCTGACAGATAAACGGAATCGACGAATGACATTGACAGTCAAACCAACGCCAGAGAAATTTCGTATTTGCATATTTGTGGTACAACATACAGAGATCAGTTGGTCCATTATCAGGATCATTGTCACCCCAATAAGAAAAAATAGGATCTATTGCTTTGTACCCATAGGACCAAGGTCCTCCTTGAACAGATCGTCTACCATCTATCCAAACCATGTTGCTTGTTGGCGATTGTGCAAGCAGGGTATCATTAACGTCCTTGGCTTTTAATTCTGAATCAACACGCACCAGATGACCACCATCAGATCGACAAACGGCTTCAGCGTTGTCCCAGGATTTCGGACCTGCGTAGTATTTTAAGCAAAAGCCATTCGTTGTGAAATTATATTCCTTAGGACATCTAAATTTACTTTCACAGACCTTATTATCCAAAACTGTTCTTGATAATCCATATCGCTCGCACATCGTAGTGTTTTCTCCGCATGTCCGTGATCTAGTTTTCACACCGACACGCCTTTGTTTATCTACGCTGACATCACAATCAGACCACTCTGTCCATTCTCTACAACGATGCAGACGGCACATTTCTTCTGCTACTTCCCGAACATCAGATTCTATGTTCTTCAAAGCCTTACCAATAATACTTAGCAATGTCATGTTGTAATTTTTGCCAACGTTATATAAGGTCTGTCCATTTACATTGTCTTTTCGTGAATGTTCTACACTCGATACGCGGAATGCAAGCATTGCAAACAAAGACAAACATACGATCGGGCCATGCATATTCTTTTTTCGTAGTGCTATCTCTTTTGATATGAATAGGTCTGCCAGTTTTCCTGAAAGATAAATGTATTTTGATAAAACTGTAAGCTGTAGAATTTATATCTTATAATGCCCATGCGAAATACTGATCGGCATGTCATTTGGCTGTCATCAGCCGAGCATTTGAGAATTTTTAATAAGACGCATGATTTACTGCAGAATGACAAAATTAACTTTGCGAGTCGGAAGTACATAAAACCATTTACACTTCAGAACCAATTGAATATTTCTTGCTTTGTTGCAAAACATTTTATTTACATTTTTACTCAAATGTAAAGACAATGTTTTCCTAACTCCATATACATAAAATGGACTTGCAACTGTCTGCAGTTAGCCAATATTTATAATCATGGAATCAGGCTAAAATTAAATCATGCGTATTTGTTTCATCTATAAATAGCAAAAGAAAACCTAAAGGGGAGCTGTTTCAGATGGAACAAAACGCATTGTTACTGCATTGAATTGTGAAAACATATAATTATCTGTTTGTTTTTTTAGAAACTAGGAAAAAGGATGTTTTGAAGAAATAGAAATGTATATATTTTAAAGTTTTGTAATTGTTTTTTTTTTCAGATGATTCGGTTAGTGCTGTGTTAAAAAATGTTAATAGACGCCTTTTATATAGTAAAACGATGTCGCAAGTGTGTAATTTAAAATACTTTGAACTTCAAACACGATAAACTTGAAGGTAAGGTGGTTAAATCAAAGCAAGTCTGCAACATTTTCATATATGCCGTTTTGGGCATTCTTTTGTGATTCTATATTCTCTATTTTAAAGCAAGTACTATAAATTTAATACAAAATACACTTTTAAGTTATATTTCCATACGTTTTTAAAATATGCTTGTCAATCAAACCGATATTTCAATAAAAACGTATTTTATTACATTTAGCCGCTTTTTGTTTATTAAACTACATAAAAACATAAAAGTAAAAAAATGGTATTTACCTTTATTTTTTGAACATCCAGTATTCTTTTTATGCCACTGTAAAGTCTTTCACAACTACCTACTGCGTACACGACTAATAAAGACTGTTGATACAATCAGTTATGTTTTAAGATGAAACAGATAAAAGGTAATAAGGAAATATATTCACATATCTGATTTTTAAAAAATAAAAAAATAAGTAGGTTACGTGACAATGATTGTGTAAAAACAACAATATTTTAACGAACATGGTATGAAACATGATTTAGGAAGTTTATAAAAACTGCCAAGTCAAATGAGGCATTTCCCTCCCGTTTCTGTATGTTACAATATAAATTAAAGCTAGATTGCAAAACCAGTTCTTAAATTTTTATTACCATCGAATCCTATTCATAAACCTTTATATGAACAAACGTGATCGTGAAGTTGAGCGGTAGAATCATTCATAATAAGAGATTTCGGTACGTTCATAGAATGCCACCCTTCCTTGGTGATCTTAGTTTCCATGTTTTTTGTCTCTCTGTTAGATATGTTTCCTTTAATTATTATCTTTCATTTGCTGTTTGTACCTAACTGTAGAAGCTATCTTTGTCTTTCATTGCATTATTCTATTACATAGGTTTTCTCAACTCGTAACATACTAGATTGTTTCAACCAGTTATTGTTACATACATACTAGAAAAGAGTATTATAGTAAACATATCGGACAAATGTTTTCATTTTTGTATATGATGCACGGCATTATTATCATGCTATCACTTTAACTCGTTTTGATAACTTATTGTGCCCTTGACTTATAAGTTATCATGTATCAAGCCTAAAACGTATTTCCACTGTTTGTCATCAAACTATTTGATTAATATGAATTAAGATATTGTGACATTTAACGGTAGTGTTGTTACATTTGACGGCAAATTATTTTGAGACATTTAGTGGTGGGTGGAACATTTAACGGCGGTTGCGACATTTAGCGGCGGTTGCGACATTAAGCGGCGGTTGCGACATTTAGCGGCAAGTGCGACTTAAAATGGCGCAACAATATCTTTTGTACTGTACGTTCTCTTTTGATGACAGTAAAAAGTAAAGCAATTACCAACAAAAGGTAAAATGTTGAGAACATTTACATATTCGTTTGTTTGAAAATCAAACAAAATCGCAGCCAATTTCAAATCAGAGCCCTAATTGTTATTGATTGATTACTGTATGATCGAGTGGACATGAAAATAATGAAGGCATTTGGAATATCGTTCTCATTACACATAACGATTCAACGAAGGACTTTACTGTGATAAAAAATCAACTTTTTTGAATACGTTGAATATACAGTCATATAACTTGTCAATGAGTAAAACTGCTGATTCATGTTACAATAGATATTCTGCTGTCTTCACACACGAAATACAAGGAATGTTTGAAACTTTTTTTTCTGTATTTAACAAACGACTAATACAGTCCAGTGTTCAGACTAATCATTGTTATAATCTGTAAGCCTAGCGCCCATTCTATTGCTTTTGAAAACAAAAACTGATAAAAACCATTGTTAAGTTTAGGTAAACAATTTTGTATAAAAGGTGTCAGAAATTTAAACTAAGCTTGAAAACAAAACAGGAAGAAAACGATTCATCAAGATAAATAAATAAAGTTGTAGATGTTTTGACCCACGTTGAACAACTTCGTATTTTTATGTGTTGCAAACATTTTGAATATTTTTGGTATTACAGAATTTATGATTAGCTTACTGAAACAGCACTTAAGTCTGAAGATATGTAAAAAATATTAATAACCAGTTTTGCCTGTATAATTCGTTAATTACGTTCAACTTTAATTAATTCAACTTTCAATCTCAATTAATAAACCATTTAAATTAACATTTGATCCCATGTTGAAATCCAATTAAAATGCTATTCAATTAAAGATTTAAAGAAAAAGTTTCCAGAATTGCGTGACCATATCTGACTTTGTTTCTCTACTTTATAAAAATCAAAGATTGAGAGAATGTACTATTACTATGCCATGAATATTTGTACATGTAATATATTTGAACTAGTTATCAGACAGCATTTAGCGTGTGGTGTGCAGGTTCAAATGGCCCGACAGTATTATTTAAATCATACCCTTAGCCTATGTGAGTCGCACACATGTTTGGTATAGCCGTTATTTTTTGAATAGGTGATAAATGCTCTCAATCAAAGATAAACGTTATTTATATTTCTATCCATAGGCTAATTTATTTATTGAACTTTGCTACTTTGTGCAGCATAATTATACTTAGCGGATGTTTACCAGCGGAAATACGGATACGGATGTCTGTGATAAAAACACATAGTGAGGTTTACTCAGTAATACACCAATATAGTGAAAACATTGTTTTCAGGATGGTTGATCCCGGTTATGTATCGGGTCTTTGTCGAGATTGTTCAACCGCTGATTGATTTGGTGGTGATGTTGTGAAAACAATATTGCAACGATAGCGTTTCTATACCACTATTTCATTTTCATTTAAACTGATAATGAATTGATACAGTGTTCGAATATTTATAAAGAACGTAAAATTCACTCATTTTGGACATAAGTCAATCAAACACGCTTTATAAAAACAGCTAAACTTGTTACAAACATAATCATCATTATAAAACACGCTCTTTTTCACACGTCTGAAGGGAACAGACGAAAGAAAACTATAAGTCGAGATAAACAAAGGATAATAGTGTGAAAATAACTGTTGGGGCTGAAATTTTACATTGAGATACTGAAAATATCGATATAAAAATATCGAGATAAACAAATATTTCCAATAAAGATAAAGAAGGAAGAGAATTGGGACTTTCAAAATTTCATCGAGATAACGAAATATCGAGAAAAGCGATGTCGAGATAACGATAGTTTACTGTATATCTTTAAGATAAACAAAATTTTTCAAGCGAGGGAGGTTCTTTTCTTTGTTTTGTTTTTCTTGTTGTTGCAGTTTTTGTTTTGATTTTGTTTTAACATTTAATATTATATATATTAAAAAGTTCAATATTCTTTTGTTTCGATACGTTGTCTGCATAAAAGTGACAGTGGAAGTGTTAATTTTAATACATTGTGGCGTCGTTATATGTCGAAACGACGCTAAATGTCGCACTTACCTATAAACGTCGCACCATTGACGCTAAATGTCGCAACCGCCGCTAAATGTCGCAAAATCATTTGCCGTTAAATGTCGCAATGTTAACGTTAAATGTCGCACGAACTTCCCTTACCGTTAAATGTCGCAACACTACCGTTAAATGTCGCAAGATGTAAATTCATGTTAAAATCATGGTTCAAGTAGAATTATATTACTTTTTAACATTCTCATGGTTATTTTAATTGTAATTGCCATTACAAAAAATATCTTTGTGTTACTTGGTTTCTTTAATGAACATAAATATCGAGGTTTTTAGCTACTATATGATGTAATCTTTTGGCTAGAAAGGATAATTGATACTAAATTCTCAATAGATAAGTATTTTTCTTTTGTTTAACATTTTCATTTGTAACCCTGATGGACAACAGATTAAAGGTATTATGGTATTGTCACTCTCAGAATTTAGTTAAAGAAATTTCATTTATTTTCTCAGAAACTACCGAATTTACTTTAAACGTGGTTTAAGTGTTCACTATGATCATATGATGCAATATCAAAAGACAGATAATCCTAGTTATATTTTGCAAAGTTATTCCCCTTATTTCCCTAAGATAATTTCGCTCTGATTAACCTTTTGGTTACGGCTAATTTCAAACATATTCACTTTAAACTTAAAATACTTGTTTCATATGAAAGTACTAATGCATTTCTAAAGGACAGATGACCCTGAACGGTATTTTTTCTTAAATATCTCCCTTTTTATATTTTCAAAAAAGAAAAACCTCACAATTATTCACTTCAAACGTGAAATATTGATTGAATATCAAGGCAATTTTATATTTTAATGAGTGAAAACGTGAAAAACATAGTATGAAATGCACGGTCAATACGAGAATCGAAAGAAAATATCATGTGGTACTCCTTGATCATGTAGTATTCGATCCGCAGTCGGGTGCTAGATATGAGCGAATTTTACGATTATATGCAACGGAATTTTTGTAAGCAGCCAGCCCGCATAGAGCGCGAGACTTGTAACCTCGACCTTGTTGGTTCTATTCTCGGGCTGGCCAACTAAAACTACTGATCAGTCTTTCGGATGATACTTTAAATCGAGGTCCCGTGTATGGGTACTAAACAACTTGGCATGTTAAAGAAGGGGAAGCTTCTGGAATCGGGGCATCTTTCTATATCTATAATTGCACTATCCTCCAAAATCTAAAATGACTTGTACTCTTCTGGAGGACTTGCCCATATGGGCAACCGGTGGCGAGTATAAATAAACGCAAATTCACATACAGTAAGCAGATGTCAAAGTTAAAATAAGTACACAAGATTAAGTACATTTTACGATTTGTCAAACACTATTTACGCTTTGACATTGTGGCAAGTGATATTTTACTCGCCAAGTCGCTTTATACTATGAAAGATTCTCAGTAACTATCATATAATAAGAATACAAATAATTGATTAAGCTCATATTGGCCTTGCTGTTTGACTGAAGACAGCTAGCCGTTTTGGCCTGAGAATTTAGGCTTTTTATAATTATACCATTGCTTTGCTGTAATGAAAATCTTAATCTGTAACGCTTCATTATAAATATTTCAACGAAATTAAATCTAATATTTTTCGAAAAACACAAGACATAAATTATACATGTGTAACGACGATATTGGTTAGATATATGTAACCATTTTTATGTTCGTCCTAAAATGCGCATGTCGAGTACGTCATAGTGAAGTTCAAATGACCATAAATACAAACATACTCACAAAAGTGTTTCTATTTTAAGATAATTTTTTAGAACTTTATTTTTTAAAACAAAAAAATGGAACAGATGTGTAAAGAAAACATCTTTTTAATTTATAGCAACAATAATATGTGAACTTCATCCTGCAAATTAAACTCTATTTTAGCATTTGTGACCATGGCCCATTGATCCCTTTCTCAATATTAAGGAAGAATACCATGCAAGTTATTTACCTTCCAAATATGAAATACATTTGTCAATAAATAAAGGCTGTAAAAGTGTAGA